CGTTTCCGTAGTAGCATATTGTTCCATGGAGCTAGGGAAAATAGGAATCAACAAGTGTTTCCATGACTCTACCGCCCGGCCAATCCTGTCCCATTGAATCCCCTCCCTTTTTCATGGCCACATATCTTTACGGCCAATTTAGTCACCGGATGCCCCAAGTCCAATTATGAGGAGAGTTGTATTGCTTCTGCGCTGTGTGCAAGAGTTTGCAAGGTTATTGGTGTGTGTGTTCGTGGGATATTTCCTGATGCTGAACAGGGGTCTCATACCGCTCCTTATATGGTCTACAAGAGATAGGGTTACATGTTGATTTTCCTTTCCAATTGGGTTACAAAGAGATCTAACCAGGTAAAATTATATATGCATGTTAGTTTCCGTCTACTAATCCACCTTTGTCTATCAAGGTGTTGTTGAGACATCCCGGACCATTCCTCTTCCTTTGACCGGACAGCTCATCCCTGCTAGCAGGGGCGGAGCCAGGAAGTTATTTTTTTTAATGTTAGGGGGTCAGCAGTGTTAAATTTTCAAAATTTATTTGAATTAAAAAAAATCATTGGGGATTTGAAAATGAACAAATAATCATTTTTAGTCTTGAGCAAGTTGAGTAGGTAGGCTGGATATTCGAAACATCAATGGAGGGGGAGAGAACAGCGATACTAGCCAGTAGCAGACTAGCAGTAAGATAGGATAAAAAGAGGGCCGTTTTGCATACACATGACGGTTCGGGGGCGGCACACGTTAGTTGATTGTTGATTTCCATTAAAAAATCGTGACACGGGTCTAGCAAATGGAACAGGCAACGTCTTCCCAAAATGCCCTGATCAAGATCAACAATAATTCTCGATGCACAGGCAACAGGATCAATAATCACACACGTAACCTTTTTCTTTTCACAAACAAGCGACGAGGCAACAAAGGGCGATACACGGTAGATATATATGTGTGCTTCTTTGAAGCACGCATGCATGATACAGGATAGGTACAGTTTATATAGTTTATACACGTCCTAACACACGTGATGTTGGCGATACAAAGTAAACAAAGCAGCCCCAATGAACATTATCCACCGCTATATATATATTTGCCGTCGTCGATAGATTAACATGGACAGCTCGTCCAGCTAGCCCGCCTGAGAGCTTAGACGAATGAGAAGGACTGGGTGCCGAGGTTGAGGATGCCGCCAATGAGGCCGCCGAGGATCTGCCCAACGAGACCGATGATCCCGCCGAAGAGACCACCGAGGTCGCTGCCGCTGCCGCTGCCCGTGGTGATGTCCAGGAGCTTCAGCGGCGCCGACAGCGTCCCGGTGGCTCCGGCCAGGGACTTGTCGCACGCGCCAAGTGGGGTGGCCACGACCACCTTGCACAGGTTGCCCAGAATGGCGGCGACCAGATCCCTGCTGGCACTGCTTTGGCTGAAGAGGAAGGCCCCGGTGCTGTCCGTCGTCGTGCTGCCCACTACGTTGCTGCCGCACACGAGCTGCACAAGGGCGTCTGGCACGACCAGAGATGACAGGGGGAAACATATATAAGATCGACGTCCTGAAAAAACTGTTATTACAGATAATAATACGTATTCAGACGACAGGGCCTATATCCGTGTGTCCTTACTGGGGAACGACGGGACCGTGGCCAGGTTGATGGAGTTCCCGGTGGCGCATGGCACGATGCCGGAGACGACGAAGCTGGTGTTGGTGTTGGGGCTCGCTCCCAGCCCCGCCGCACCGCGGGGCAGCTGGCTGGCGGAGACGACGACGACGATGAGCAGAGCGGCGAGGACAAGGCTCTTCGACGCCATTATATTGCTTGGTTGCTGCTCGATCGCTAGTGTTTCTACCAGCTGCCTCTCGGTCTGTTGTACGGAGCGAGGTTGAGATTGTGCTGAGCTGATGAGTTGTAGCTCATGCTGCTGCATTGATCCGCTATTTATAATAGGCGGCGCGTGCGTGGCCAATGCAAGTTGCTAGCACATGCTCATCACACGGGTCGGCTTCAGTTCAGTGTGCGCGCGTGCTTGCAGTGTTCGAACGCCTCACGCTGCTGTCCCTGTCCGCGCGTCGTCGGGCGTGCATGTAAGCAGCAGCCAACTTGATCTTGACGGGACGGGCCCAGCGAGAAAATCCCGAGCAACTGACGGGCGGTGCGGGGCAGCCGACGGAGCTACACATCTCTCTGTTGTTTCTCAGTGCTATGTCTTTGTTGATGATTGTTGAGGCGAGGATACACTCAGTAAGCAGTCCTACTAATAATGAGTGGTCATAAATTAACACGCAGCTGATTAAGTGATTATATAGTCTGATAATTATTGGTGGTCATGCATGGAGATCGAGCTGATAGGGATGGCGGTAGGGTGGTACTGCCCTGAGAAAGCCTATAGGCGTGTGGTCCGACCCGATCGATCGTGTGGCGATGCACCGCCGGCATGCCGCTCCACCCTCGACGCGAGTCCGGTTCACTTCTTCACGAGCCGTACAATGCCAAGAAGATGGCAGCAACGGAGATCGACATCGTTCTTGTATTGCTTACGTTCAAGAATTAATATCATTGATGTTGATTAAAAAAAAAAAGAATATCATTGATGAGTAATATAATCTGATTTCTTTGAGAGCGCTAGCTGAGACCGGCTGGAGTGGGAGGGAGAGAATGGAAAGCTCCTGCGGCACTGTTGATGCGTACAGCCGGAACAACCAATGCAAAGCATAGATCGATCCTCCGCGACGATGATGTTTGTTGCTCCTACGTCCAAAATTGTATATTGTTTTGGTTTTGCTAGGTACTCTATCTGTCTCAAAATAATTATACATTCTGTTGTTTTGAAGTCAATTTTTTGCTAGGTACTCTAGTCACATTTTAAAAAGTTTGATTCCTTGAAAAACAAGACGTGCAGTTATTTTGGAATGAGGAAATATATAGATTTTGCTATATATCTAAAAAACCAAAAATGAATTATAATTTGAAACAGAAGGAATAGTTAACACCTTTTTTTCTTCTTCAAGATACACCACTTTCTTTGCGATTTTTTTTCAAAAAACATTGTGTGTATGTACATTTCTATTTTTGCCTTTTGGCTTTTTTGTTGGCTTAGGTGAACCTTCCCCTATATTAATAAATAGCACATCTTACCTATCCTATGCTTTTATAAAGCAAAACCCCACTAACCAATTTATCTGATTCCACGGCCCTCCACGTCATAAAGTAATTTCAACCGTCTGATTCTCTATCCGTCTATTAGAGACTTCGTGTATACCATCCCATTGCTACTCTTCATTAAATTCCACCGAGCAAGTCCCAGCCATTACTCAAATCATTTATCAGATTGCTTTTGATGCCTTCCCACGATCTCTACTATCGTGCAAGTAATAATTACTCAAAACGCCTATAATCAGTAGGCACGTCCGTATCCCTAAATCTCTTCTTTATCTTCTAATATACCTGCCCTGCAGTACGAGCGAACCAACTGCAGTCTGCTCTCTGAAAGCCAATCATACAACTCTCCGAGCCCCTGATGACTGATGAGGCCACGCGCTACCCAATGTCTCCATTCATCTGTACCCCAAGTATCATCTTGCAATTCCAGCGGTAATAGTTATATTATTTCCCTCCTTTTGTTGGAGCAGATGGAGTATGATTGTGAAATAATGATACCGGTAAGTTTTCTAGCCAAGAATATGGTTATCCATTTACTCCTTATTTGTTTGTTCACGGACTTTCACGAACCTCCAGTCCTATCAGTGTAACAATTCCTAATGATGTGGTCTCGATCAACTCTGTCTGTGGCGTAGGCCGTGCTATATGCTTCAAAATTTCTATCAGCGCATCTTTTTCTCTGGGATTTATTTACTTGACTTGATCACATGGATTTGTTTATCTGATCACACGCTTTTGTTTTTTATGCTTGGATATTTCACGTGATTAAGGATTAGTTCACCTCATATCTATATGCAGTACGGATACTGCTATGTTGCACTTTTTTTTTCTACTATAAAGCCACCTGTATAAGTTACCTAAGCTCATAGCTTTATGCCCATTAGGCTGCATTTGGTCACGATCATCTACAGATTAAATCATTGATTTCATATATCACCATTATTTCATCTATAGTGTTTCAACATTAAATCCCTAAAGTTTGTGCATATGCAATTTTCATTAAATAACCTTTTAGTTCTTCCCTTCGTTCAACGAATGATCACCTAAACTAACTTCAAATTCCCACGGCAACACACGGGAAATTCATCTAGTTTATGTTAAAAGAAAACACACTTTGCACTATTACATTGAGAAGGAGTCAACACTACTATCAACTGAGTGAAATAAGGGCCATCCATATGCGGTTTTTCCAACCCTCAGTTGAATACTACAATGGATTGGATCCATTTCTTTCCCATGATATCTTCTCTTCAATATCCCAACCTCAAAACTTCACATTCTACCTTCCAACCAACTGCAACTTCATGCCTCGTCCCGTATCTTTAGCGGATCTCGTCACTGAATCTATATATGCATTCCGCCGTCACCCTAACCCCTTTTGATTTGATTACCATGTCCCTACCTACTCATTGGCCATCCTCAATTGCCTGGCTGGCCTAGTGGCATGGCCTTCTCCTGTACACCCGCTTCTCTTTAAGCTGCAGTTTGGTTTCCCGTTTTCGGCCCGTCAACAGTTCACGGTGTGAATGGATTACATTACTTTGTGTTTGGATGGACAGGGTGGTAAAGGATAACAGTGTTAAGGGATGCAGCCCAATAGAACCCCATTACCCCTCCCCTCCCACCGGCAGCAGATCCCGTCGCGGAGTCACAAAATAAAATTAACGCCGCCGCCGCCGTCCTCTGCTTAGCAGCTGCGCTCGGCCCCAATCTCTCCTGTGTCGCCTGCCGCTGCATCCGCCACCCCGCGGCGACTGTCGTGGCCGCGCCCGGCGAGGCCGCGAGCTGCGGCCGTGCGAGCTCGCGAGCTGCAGCCACGCGCTGCCCCCCATGAGCGCCTCCTCTTCCACCGCCATGGCCGCGCGCACCCGGCTCCGGCGAGGCCGCGGGGCCGCCCGCATCCGTCCCGTCGCCTCGCCGCGCCTGCGAGCTCCGGCGCCCTTCATCCCGCGGCGTGGCACCGGCGACTCCTACTGCCAAGGACAAGAAGAAAGAAGAACAGGTGCTATTCACGCCGCGAACCAAACAGATAGCGTTAATGGTTCCCATGTAACAGCTTGCGCGGGCAACTGATTCCATTAACGTTCCCATAGACATTGCTGAACCAAACGGCACCTAAGTGTAAACCCTAACGGTCCAAAGCTTGCAAGAAACCCATTGGTATTTATGACTGTAGAAATTATTATAATTCATTGATGAACATAAAATGTGCAGGTTAGAAATTATTATAATTCATTGATTTTATTTTGCAAATATTATTGGGTGTACATGTCTTTAGATCCGCGCCTTGGCAGTTGGCACGGGTTAAGTCTGTATTTGGCTTTGGTGGCTAATAATTAGCCAACTACACACAGCAGTCACACCATGGCAGCAAACCCTGTGTGGATGGTCAGTAAGCCCACCTATATTAACTCGTGTTGTGCCAATCGAAGGGGTTACTCTGCCTAGTGTGGTTCCTTCTCTGACACACCAACTCACAACTCGGCGTGAACCAACTAATTTTGTAGTTTCTTGTAGATCAATCGGCAAATGTTTTCCTCCCAAAAGAAAAAAAAAAGATGCTGAAATTTAGTGCCTGTAGTGTTCTTCTGGATTTGATGCAAAAGGACTGTTCTGGTTTTGATGTTCCATAACGTCTTCGTGTTTTATCTTGAGGTTTATGGGTAGAGAGAGAAGCATGGTGACTTATTAGTAGGTTGCATATTTTCAGTTGTGCAACCGGTAGTAGGTTCACTTAGATATGGTTTTCACGGCTATGTATTGTATAATGGGCTGATGGGTGGAGCGGCTAATTGGCCTTTTAGGCTGTAGTTGCAGACAGTGCTGCCTTATTGCATAATGTGACTGTACCTCTAGCCGTCTCTCTATAAATTTGTTTACAGAAGAATCTCTAAACAGTTAAGGGGTACCATTAAACTGCTCTTTCTTTTCAGCTCATCACTAGTAATTTTTTTTGCTATTAATCTAAGATATCCTCAGTACTAACTTTAATCAAGTACTGTTGGTATCATGCTATGCCCATCTTTGAAAAATAAGGAGGGACTATATGTTTCACCATTCTTGCATACACTAGTCCATTTCACAGTTTTTATGCTTTGACAATGAAAAGGAGAGCATCTTTTGATGCACGATTGTCGGGGACCAATACTATCCGAAGAGGAGGAGCTAATGGTCATCAACATTGATTCATCCGAGTAGTCAAGAGCGCGACTACAGCTCCAACCGACCCCAGCGCTGCTGGGCTCCGCCGCCGCTGACCCCAGAAGCCACAGGCTCCTCCTCGCCCGACCTCGAGGCCGCGATCTCCGCCTCGGCCGACCCCGAGGCCACGATCTCCAGGACGGGCTTCGCCTCGCCCGACCTCTGGGGGCGGGCTCTGTCTCGCCCGACGGAGACCCATACCGCCGCCAACGACTCCAGGTCTAGGCGTATGAGCCTGGGTCAAGACTATGACATCAAGGAAGAGACTAGCACGCCTCGATGTAACCCGTGGCCATGACGGGCCATACTAGAGGGTTCACATCAAGAACAGCGTCGGGCGTGCCGGTGCTGTTCCGCCTAACCCTCGTACGAATGGTGACAGGCGCGTCAGTTCACCACGACGTCCGCCAGGACAGGATGGAACGCCATGACCGACAGACGACACCTGCGCGTGGCGCCAGTGACGGACAGGGTTGCGATGTGGAGCTATCCCTGTTGACATCTACAGGGTCGGCGGGACCCGCATGAAGGAGAAGAAGGACCCGGTGATCCTGGAAGCTTTTTTTTCTCTCTCTCGTTCTTCTCATTTTCTCTGTTGTAACCCGTGCTTTTCCTTGGCCTATAAAAGAAAAAGCAGGGCGTCCCCTGAAGGGGGCCGATCGAATCACCCTGAACCGATCAGAACACGAGATAAACACACAAGAACATGGCACGAACACATGGCCGAGCAGCGATCGAGCTCTCAGCACCCGTTCACTCTTTCCACCAGAGACTTGGGATCATTTCCCTCTCTCGCCTGTTTGTAACCCTTATTATAAACTTTCGGTGCTAGTAACACGAGTATCAGCGACGAACTGGACGTAGGGACTTTCTGCGCGAACCAATATAAACCTCGTGTCCCCTAAGCACACCATCCGAGCCAGACGCGTAATATTAGAAATTTACTCGTCGGTGGTATCTCGAAACACCGACAACGATTTTATGTTTTTGTGTCTTCACAATGAAAATGAGCATCTGTTGATGCACTATGTTTCAATGCTACGTTTCTTCTTAGCACCAGTGTTCAATTGTGCCTAGACATTCTATGACCTGCCAGTGTTGAGTGGACATAATATCTCCTGACAGACAATGATATGATGTCCTATTTTCGATCAATACTGAATATTTGACTAGGTAATCCACAGCCTAGGTGTCTTGATGTCATCTGTGGTTACAGATATATGGTGTGGTTAGTATCTTGCTCAGAAAGACGTCTAAAACAGACTATCTCATCCTGGAGTCAATTGGTTCAATTAATGGCATGTCTCTGTAACTTTGTGGCTTTCATACTTTTACTCATGATGGTTGATTGGAATATGCATTTTTGCTTATTCTAAATTTGAGAAATACTCTAATCATTAGGATATAGTACCAAAGCGACTCCTAATTCCTGAAAGCCCAGTCCTTACTTGTATGATTGTATTGCACTCTGTCAAGCCCCATTGAGAAACATATTTTTTTTAAACAAGTCACTTATTAGGGTGTTTAAAGTGAGTTCAGTTCCCTTTGGGGGTACTGCATGTTTGGCATTTTTCTGTGAGTTTCTTTTGGGTGATGTAGCTTTCATACTTTTACCCATGATGTTGATTGGAATATGCATTTTTGCTTATTCTAAATTTAAGAAATACTCCAATTGTTAGGATACACTACCAGTGTGACTCCTGAAAGCCTAGTTCGTACTTGTATGATTGTATTGCACTCTGCCAAACCCCATTGAGAAATAGTTTTTTAAACAAGTCACTTAGGCTGTGTGAAGCGAGTTAAGTTCCCTTTGGGGGTACTGCATGTTTTTTGTATGTGTTTCTTTTGGGTGATGAACTGATTTTTCTCGTGCTACGGCTTACATCTGTTTGCTTCATCTGCAGTTTTTCGTGACAATGTCTGGTCATACCCAACCTGAAGGACCACACCAACTTGATTCAAAACGTGCTGTGAATTCATGCCGAAAGAATGTACCTGGTACATCGTTCGACTCAGATTTGAGAGATCACATCCACGAGTTCATCAACGCCTCTGCAGATGAACACCGGACATGCTTCACAAAGACTATCAAGAGGATGTTCGAGATGTCAAAGATTGTCACTGAGAGATCCTCTGAAGCTGAGGAAGATGGATCCGAAAGTGTCTTGCCACTTCAGACCACAGTGTCGCGGTAGAAGTGTCTACACTTTATATTGTCTCAGTAGAATTAGGATATAATGTTAATAACTAGTTAACTACGGGCTCTCAGGTGAGAAAGTAGATTCTCAGTAACCATGATTATCTTGTGCGGATAACACTTGTCCACATTTTTGGCTGATTTAAGATGTCCAGCTACATGAGGCATTTCTGTAACAACTCACCTGTGCAAAAATAGACCAAAAAGAAGAGACTCATCTTTTCCACACAATTTGTGTGCAAAAACTAATATGGCCTACAGGTTTCTTTCTCCCCTAGCTGGATCATAGTACAGTACGTAGCACATCCTCCCTTTTTTTTCATTTTCCTTATCTTTTTGGCAGGTGTTGGATGAGGCTGGAAATACTGGCTTAGACTAGCAGGAGTCTTGCTAGGGAGCTGTACTAAACAGGGTCGAAACTAGTAGAGTCTCGATGAGGAGCCATACCAAATAGGGCCTAAACTAGCAGGTCCTGCTGGGGTGCTGGTAGAGCGAGCTGAGAGCCTGAGACTGAACCCCTGGCTGGGCCCTTACAGCCACGGGACGCCTTCGATATCATCGTCGTCTCGTCAACGGTGAGCGGAATGAGTCGTGGCCCACCCCTAATCCAACCTCGACCCTATTTTCTAGAGCGAATGGTCCGATCCTGATTCAATCCATTGGTCAGCTTTATATCATAATCCAGCTTGGCCCCTTGATAATAATCCCACTCCTATCTTGATCCTAATTAAATCCTAGGGCCGGATCCGTTATCTCAGCCCTCGGGCCCTACGCAGGCTACAAATTGCACGGTTGCATGTACACAGAAATACCCTTGGGCCCTGCGCAGGCTACAGCTTGCACGCTTGCATTTGCACTGAAATACAATGCTTGCGCGTTTGCATGTAAACAGAAATACAATGCTGCAGATGTCAAAAAAAACAAATACAATGCTGCAGATGTCAAAAAAAGAAAGAAATACAATGCTGGACGTTGGACACCACACAGAACATTTGCACGTCTCAATCCTGACAGAAGTAGCATGCTGGATGTGTTTCAATAGTACAGAGAAGTAGCTAAGGATTAATTAAGTAGCTCAAAGGGTTAATTAGGATTGAGCATGAATCAACATGCTAAAACAAAATTACAAATTTCTAGCCATAGGATCCGATGAATCCAAGAAGAACAATAAAAGTTGATTATTGTGACTTGCAAGCATTATGCAAAGGTTCAATGATCAGTGAGCCTGCGCCGCACATCAGAGACCAATGAGCTCTGGCTAGCGACAACAATCTGCCACAAGCCCACAATCTGCAAAGACGCCATCTGCAAAGACACCAAGCACAAAACTCAAACTTAGGAATTTACTATTTGATCATATACATGTTAACTGCAGATAAATGAATGGACTTAGGATGTCAACTGCAGCTATGCTAGAACTTTTTTTTTATGAAACTGGAGGGGTTGTGGGCCCCTACAGGCATTTTATTAAAACAAATAATAGAACACGGATTAGGGAACTTCAGGCTTCATTGACTAACAGGCATTTTATTAAAACAAATAACTGCAGCTATGCTTGAACTTCATGCTTCATCAACTATATGACTAGGCAGAGGCACCAGTGAAAAGGAGAACTTCATGCTTCAGCATAGTAGGTAATAGGTACTGTGCTACAGCTATAGTTTCAAATCCATGCCAACTCATAATACTATCATGCTTCTATTCACTTCTTGAACTGCAGTCAGTACTCAACATACGAAGCTTGCAGTCAGTACTCAACATATGAAGTAATGTACTATATCTTCTCATTCCAGTAAACCACAGTCTGGTGTTCTGAACCCATGCACTGATCACAGTAAACCAACAAAAATATTTGCATCGGGGCACTAACCTGTCAATCATCTTCTTCTTCGTCTGATTCAAACATACGTTGTCCGTTCATTGGTTGACCTGCATTGAACAAGACAAACATATTAAACCACTATTGTAAACAATACCAGCTTTGCAATATAGTATCTTAAATATGACAATTACCTTCATCTGCATCATTAAAGCCAATCAGCCAGTCTTTCGCACAGACCAACGCTTTCGAGAGTTTCCGGAGAGAGAGATGTCCTATTTTTGCCAAGCATCCTTCTTGCAGCACTAAAAGCAGATTCTGAGGACACTGTGCTAATAGGAATAGACAAGAAGTCTCTTGCCATCAAAGACAGGATAGGCATCCGAGTTTTTCTTCCACCATGCTAGAACATTAAAGTTCTCTGTCGGTCTCACCAGTACTCTAGGATCATCCAAATAAATATCCAACTCTGATCTTTTTGAGCGAGTACTCGAGTTTTGTGATGAAAATTGAGCAAATGCAACCTCTACACGCCGTTTGCCACGAAGTCCAGAAGAACTTGAATCGCCCTGACTTAAAGCTTCCTCTTCATATTGAATGAAGATAGGTACGGTGTTGCTCCTCACAATCCTCTCATACTCCAGATAATATTTCTTCAAGTAATGTCTAAGCTCTCTCATCTTCGCTTCCGCTTCTGCATTCTCAACAGTCAAGTAAAAGAACCTGACAAAGTCAGCTTTTATTGATGGATCCAGGACAACACCTATGAGAAGTATCATACTAGGCTCAGCCTAGTATTTCTGAAACTTGGTATGCATAGCTTCAGCCAACTCATTGAGCAGTTCATTGGGTATTCCATGTCTCATCAAGCAAAACCTCTCGGACTGCCATCAACATCTTTAGAAAAGAGGTGGGCTGTTGGATGCCTATCCGCAGAAAATGCTTTGGTAGCCTCACTGAACTGTTCTAGAAATTCATGAAGTGCTTCAGCTTTCTGCCAATCTTGTTCACTAGGAACATCCTGATATTGCTCTGTTGCGAATCTGTTGAGAGCTGCTTTATACTTCAGAGCTTCATTCAGCATGTCATATGTAGCATTACATCGGTGGGCAACATCTAGAACCAGCCCTGACTTGCCTTTCAGACCTAATGCCTGAACGACTGAGTTGAATGTTTGCACACGTGAAGGTGTAGATGTGACAACCTTGATAATGTCCCTTACTCTTCCAACTGCATTTGGTATGACTTGCAATCCTGCTTGAACCATTATATTGAGCACATGAGCGGCACATCTGACATGTAGCTGTTCACCCTTAAAGAACATCTGAGCACCTAGAGCGACACTCAAGTCTTTAATCGCTCTGTTGTTCACACTTGCATTATCTAGAGTCACCGTGAACACACGATCAACCAAATCCCACTCCATCAAGCAAGCCGTGATGCCATCTTGCACAACAAATGAGTTGTGGGGGAAAGAGATATGCTTGAATGCAATAATCTTCTTATGGAGCTCAAACTCTTCATCAATGTAATGAGCTGTAACTTCGAGATACCCCAAATTATGGTTAGACGACCACAAATCAACAGTTAAACTGACATGAGACTTTAACTTTGTGATCTTTTGATGTAGCTGCAATTTCTCTTCTTCATACAACATGAGACAGTCTGCACGAACAGTTTGTCGACCCACCACATTAAATGAAGGTTGACAATAATTCAACATCTCTTTCCAAGCAGGATCATCTGCTTTTTGAAATGCAATCTCAGCACTAAGGAAGTACTTTGCAATCAAACCTCTGAATACAACAGGATCAAATACAGAATTATCTCTATCAGACTTGTTCTTCAAAGTTGCTAAGAACCTATCCCTGTCCTCTTGGGGGATATGATGACAATAATATCCAATATGCCTATTCAAGTGAGTTATCCCTTTCCCTGACATAGAAGACAACTGGAGCTTATAGTACTTGCAGACAGCCTTCTCAATTCCATCAACTATCTCTGAGTCAACATAAGCCCAAACTTTAGCCCTCTTTTTCCCTGGCCGGCCTGACTGGTAAGTGGAGATAGCATCAAGACTATCCTCAACTTCTGCTGCTGTTGCTGATGAAACCCTCTCCATAATACCAGACACTCGGACTAACCAACTCAAAGTTACGGTTGTAGTTTGTCATAAACTATAGAAACATAGGTCAACTATGGAGGAACTACAACGCATGACATACTAGAGTAAAATCTACCGAATAGCTAACAAAGGAACACACAAAAGGCAGGAACAAAAGAATAGCTAACATATGTAGAAGAATAGCTAAAGTAAAATCAAAACATTTCGAATATAGGTACATTTTACTATTACGGTTCACAATCAAAGCATTCTCGACTCATCAAGCAATTAAATAATGATGGCAACTTTAGAATGCTTGATGGTAAATAATAGGATAGGAAACAACGATATCAGCTAGTAGTTGAAAACAACTCATTCAGAGCCACACGGCGATTCAACTATATCTAAGACCTCATCAAGAAGAAAATGCCCACTAGATACAACTACTCTAGTACTCTCAACTCTACATATTCCGGATGAGTAAACAACTCCGTAGAAGTAGTTGAAAACAACGGGATTTTGATTTCCACATTTTCCAATATAGTGAAATCTAGCTACCATTGCAACTGTATCATTCAAATTGTACAAATTCATATCCGTTTTAACTCGAGTTTGTTCTATTATGCTAAAACATGTAATTAGATAGCGCCATGTAATGGATGCAAGCAGAAAGTAAATTAAGAACAGAGCGAGATATCGACCATGAACATGCATTAGCACATGAAAGGTGAGATTAGCAGGGCTTACCACATATAAAACAAAAAAAGAGAGACGGTGACAAGAATCGGGGGAACAAATGCGGAAAAGAAGGTATCGCCAAGTGATAGTAGTAACTTTGCCAAAGGAACAAGACCATGTGAAAAGAAATAAATAATTGTAAGGGAAAGGCAAGTCATTGATTATTTTATTATCATATTATTCTTGATCCGATAACCGGTACTAGATAAAAATTCTTGAAGAAAAATGATAAGGTGAAAATAGAACGCCTGTTGATTATCTGATTATCATATAGTATTGCTGAAGTGATAGTTGAGGCTGGTGAATATTCTTCTGAACACAACTATTTTTAACTAAT